TCTGGGTGGCTCTCTGGCTTATAGTGGAGGTTACTTGGGGGGCAGAGATCAGCGGTGCTTCAGCTGGGTAAACCGGTGCACAGTCCTGCCCTGTAACAACGGGACAGGTAGGGCAGAGGCCAGCGGCGCTCTGCCTACATGCCAGCGCTTCTGCTCAAGTAGCCTGCAGGGAGTCAGGCTCTGGACAAGGGGATAGGGGAGGGCAGAGGCCGACTGTGCTCTGCCCAGATGCCAGCTCTTCAGCTTGTGGGACCGGGGCATAGTCCTGCCCAGTGGCAAGGGGCTCATTAGGGCAGAGGCTACTCTCACCCCGCCGCCACTCCGCGTCCCCCAGGGCCTCACGCCTGACCGCATTCTGGGCATGCATCCCTGTAGTCTGGGTTGTCAACCTCCATGTAGTGGAGTGCTGTCCAGGAGCTAGCAGGTTCCATACTGCCGCAGTCAGGGGGGCTGTATGGGGACAAGCGTTGCCCTAATTGTAAATCCACGAACGGTGTCTCCAGGATGTTTTATCTCGCACTAGGAAGCCATCCCACCGCTGCCAGCAGATGTGTCTATCCATCAAAACAAAATCAAATAGCACACTGACCGCAGTCCACTCTTTCAAATACATGGGTATGTTGTTAGACCCCAATATATCTTTGGGCCTCCACAAAGAAAAACTTGAATCTAAACTTTATCTAAATCTAGGTGCCCTGTACAGAAACAAATCCTGCCTAAGCCCTACAGGAAAAGATTGTACAGCAAATGCTGATGCCAATCATTGATTATGGGGATGTAGTATATGCACCTGCACTGCAAACCCACCGTAAAAAACAATACATTGTATGAAGGATTTCCCAGTAACCGTTCGGTTATTTCCCCTCCCTGCTACCTAATTCTCTTGTTTATTCGTTTTATTTTTCGTTGTTCGGTAAATCATTTGTTTTACCGAACGGAGACCACCCTGGGTACTAATTAGAATGTGGAACACTGTGTAACTATACATAAACCACAGAGTAATTGAATGCTCCTAGGTGGCCGCTATTTTGTGCATACGAACGCACATGGTGAGAACAATGGACGGCAGCCATCTTGTCTCCCGAACGCGACCAGTGGGACTTGGTCGTCCAGTGCCTGGAACTGTTTTGTGCATTGCACTCGCACGAACCCCGGTCTTTATGGAAGTCCCATATGTACTACTTCCCGATACGGTAGACGAACGGTGTTCAGGATTTTCAATCAGGCAAACAAGAGGAGCATTCTACACGAACGGCGTTCGTGATTTTCAATCAGGCGAACAAGAGGAGCATTCTACACAAATGATACTCCATCTATGGCAGTTTTCATACAAATCCACGCAAACAGAGACCAGCTCTTGCTACCAATTCTATGGAACTCTTTTTCGGATTCCACCTCGTGGCAGACCAGTCAAACTTCCACACGGTGCTGTTCGAAAACTACCAAATGGATTTGTCTGAATTTTTCATATGTTACTCCCATCAAGCTCAGCTACCCGGGGATATTTGTGGGGTTTTTTTATGTCTGGTTATGATATTTCTGGAAAATGTGAAAGTGTAAGATTTTTCTGGCCAGCAGATAATTGAGTTTAGTATGTTTCCAAAACTCAATTATCTTGCTGGCTCAGAGGAGGAGTTTGATGCTGTATAAATTGAATTAAACCAGTCTTGTTCCAGCATTAAGCTTTGGCTCATGTGTGGATTATTATGCGATACCAGCGATATTTTACCCTGTGGATTATTGGCGATATAATTTTTTGGGGAAAAGGGAATGACAGACGGGAACAAATATTCAGACCATCACACATTGTATAACTTGTTCTGCCGCTTTGTGCTACAGGACCCACCATTGTGGCATGCTAAATTATTACTAATTAACTGTCTGTTGCTGGAATCCAGCTGCACCCTTCATCTTTCCACCCTTGTGTTTAAGAGCTTTTCTGGGAAGCTCCCAACCTACCTGAGCAGAATGCTCTCCCCGGCTGTTCCCACTTCCTATACCAGCACTTTATTTCGTCTACTTCAATACAAAAAGAAAGTG